AGACTCATCCATCAGATTGCCTGACAGAGTGGCCTGATTCATCAGTCCAGAGAACATGTCTCCACTCTAGAGTCCAGTGGCAGCATGCTTTACACAACTGCATCGCTTTGCATTATGATTGGTAATGCAATGCATGGACACAACTGCATGGCCATTTAAACCCAGTCACTTCCACTTTGCTATAATACCACTGCGTAATATTTAGTAGTGAGGAAATTTCACAACTGGGCCTGTTGCACTGGTGGCATCCTATTGCAGTACCATGCAGACCCATTCTTTCACAAATGTCTGTAGAAGCAGGCTGCATGTCTAAGTGCTTGATTTCATATGCATGTGGTCATTGAAATGATTGAAATTTGTACCCTTTCCTCATTTGTTCTGTCTTCCAAACTGTGTTGACTTTTATTATATTTAATTAATTCCTCCTCTAGTCCCATGTAGATCTTTGCTGGTAAGAGTTTGATGTTCAGTTTTATTGCAAAGGTTATGACATACTGCATATGTAGATCTTTGTGCAGCATTAAATACTTTTTACTGCTTGTGAATATTAAAAGTATTTAGTCATCATTCATTAATATGTCATCTCTGTCTTTTATCGCTCACAGACAGATCTCGCTGTAGACCAAAAATATCTTTCTGCTGCCCCCAAGTGTTCATGAAAGTACAATTCTCTGAATTAACAGATTTGCAAAAAGGCTTTTATTATTTCTCTAATGAGCATGTTTCCTTCCTCTGGTGTAAACCTGGGAGATAATATTGTTCCTCTGGTACAACTTTTTGTACAACAACATATACCAATAAACAAAATGTGCACACAATAATGAATAGTGGGGTAATTTTGCTTTGCACCAATTCCAACAAATATTGACCCTCCTAGCTGTAGTTAGTGCAGAAGTCATAAAAGTGCAGACAAATGTAATGTAACTACTTTTTTTGCATTAATTCCAGCAGAAATGTTCTTGGCTTTTCTGCACAGCGTAGTTACTTGTCTAAAACCCTAAATCAGCTAAATAATGGGACTATTGGACCCTTTCCCACATTCCTGCTTTCTGACTAACACTAGCCACCCTGATTCAGCTGTGCTAGTTACATTTTTTTTTTTACATATTACTTAATAAGGCTCAAAATACCCATTAAATCAAATCATGCAATAATATACAGAAGACTTGCCACTTTCTGAGTGTGGTGTTGTTAAACAGAAATGTAAACAAAAGACTTCATAATTCAGGGAAAACAAACAACCTTTCAGTTCGCCCCTCACCAAGAGGTCATGTTAAACCTAGGCAACATTTGTTTGATATTCTTGTAACACTCACGTATTCCCCTTTCGTATTCCAGCAAGTTTTACTGTTGTTAAATGTTATTTCAGCTGTTCTTGTCCAGTAACCATCTTTATTTTCAGCAGGCCTGCGTCCATTTATGGGTGCATTTTCAACCCACACGTTTCTTTTGAGACATGTGCTGTGTCACTTCATGTAATTTGTTTCCTCCATGTTGAAAATTAATAAATATGAAGACAAATAGTAAATGGGACTAAATATGAAAGAATATATGCTTTAAATAAATATAATATTTATTATGTGGTTTTCCAGTCTTTTTATTTGCTTTATTGTTGATATGTCCACAGACCTTCCAGGTTTTTTCACGCCAATTGGCTAAAAGTTCCCATCCTGTGGTGCCTTTTAAATATTAGAACCAGGTGGTGTGTTACAGCATCTCAAAGGATTAAAAATGCAACCCAGTCTCACATAAAGTGGGATACCTTTTTTTTTTTAAAATTCATTTACCATATGTTTTTATTTTGTTGTACTAATGTAAGGTGACTTTGAGGATATTTAAAGGTGCCTATAAATAAAACTTATTATTACTATTATTACTACCTGGTCATCATACTCACCAAGGCTCTAAACTTAACTTAGGCTGTATAAAAAAGATGCATGTATCCACTGGAACATCACTAATTGGTTTGCTGACTACCATTTAGAAGTTTTAAAGCTAGCTAACTTATTAGTAAAGCAATTAACAATAATATTAACTATTAAGCTAGCAAAATAGAGCCTTAAAAGAACACGGACTCCTTAATGACTTCTACTACAAACAAATACTGAACAAGACTGCAAATATTTATGCTGTAGAATCAAACATTTTTATCATGGAAGTCCAATAGGATTTACTTGCTCTTAGAGGTGGCTGGTTTTTAGACATATCTGTTTTAAAAAATCACTCTTTTGTTTTTCTGGCAGTTTCATTTCAATGAAGAGAGGCAGAATATGAACCAAAAATCCATTTTTTGCCTGTCCCGTTTGGCTCTTTTGCCATTAGAATTATTGTCTAAAGGCAAAGAAAGATGCCCAAGAAGATCTCTTAATCTCCAAGGATCTTGGTGAGAAGGTGAAAACAGTTTGTGCAAGGTACTTTGCAACTCCACCTGCTGGATTTGTAAGAAGGAAATGTATGGCTAAAGAAGTACATTATGATCATGGAGTTGTCAGTCTCCAGACCTCAGTCCTCTAGAAAATCTATGGAGGGAGCTGAAGTTTTGAGTCGCCAAGCAGCAGCAGCAAAGAAACCTAAAGGATTTACAGAGTTTAAAGAGAATCCTGTTTTGCAGACCAAAATGTTCAAATAGAAATGAAAATAGAACAAAATACATAATCCTATAACTTGAGATTAAAAGTTATGAGTATTCTACAGGGTGAGTAGAATACTATGGGTGCCAGGTCCGAGCATTCCTAGATGAACAGTTTCCTGGAAAGTGGATTGGTCGTCGTGGGCCAGTTGAATGGCCACCAAGGTCTCCCGATCTGACCCCCTTAGACTTTTATCTTTAGGGTCATCTGAAGGCAATTGTCTATGGTGTGAAGATACGAGATGTGCAGCACCTGAAACTACGGATACTGGATGCCTGCGGTGTTGCTATCAGTGTGTGAAGAGCAGGAGAAGAGGGTTGCATTGACAATCCAACACAATGGGCAGCACATTGAACACATTTTATAAGTGGTCAGAAACTTGTAAATAACTCATGAAAGAATAAAGTTACGTTGAAACCAAGCACACCATTATTTTTCTTGTGACATTACCAATAAGTTTGATGTGTCACATGGCCCTCTTCCTATAGGGCTTTGGAACGTGATGTCACGGAATGTGATCTCCCGCCATGACAGTAAGCCAAACGAAGCACATGGAAGCGTCAGCTATGGTTTGTATGTACTGTGTTGTTGGTTGCAACGTTAGATCACATGATAGGGAAGGCAAGAAGCTGGAAAATGGGCTCTCTTTTCATTGTTTACCTTCCTGGAGGCAACGGGAGGGATCTCATGTATCTGATATTACTAAACGAAGACGTCAGGCTTGGATTGCAGCGGTCAGACTCGGACTGGCACCCAAGGCGAGTGCAACGAAAGCGAAAAAGAGCACCCATCGGAGGTAACCCCCGCCAGGCAAGTTTGGGAATTCATCATCGTTACCCCACATAAGCTGGAAGAGGTAGCTGGGGAAAGAGAGATCTGGGTTCCTCTGCTTAGGCTGCTGCCCTCATGACCCAGACCTGGATAAGCAGAAGGATGGATGGTCTCTGCAAAATAAGTTTGTCCTTTTCTTCGTTTCTTTGTGTCCAGCCTCACATACAATTGGGTATAAGCCTTTTCCGTTTTACTTTGTCACCACTCACTTGCCACGTCTCCCAGTACTCCTGCCTACTTTCTTCATCTCCCTGACTATTCCACTTTTTCTTTGCTGACCTCTTCCTTTGACCACTTTGCTATATTTCCTTATTCTACTACCAGGTCTACCTGTCTGCTTTCCTTTGTCCAGAAAACACACTTTCTTGGATACACCTTCCCTGGCAGCTTCCCTCACCCTGTCATTTGGTAACTTTTCCCTACTACGCAGAGCCTGTCTCAACTTCTTCCTGAACTCCACCCAACATTCTTCCTTCTTCTTCCTACCTTCACGTGCTGCTTCTTGATTTCTTGAGTCATGCAACAGAATAACAAGCAATGCCTCCTGGCTACATTTTCCTCCTCCTTTCCTAATCCTTTCAGATTCTGTATAAGATATAGCCTACCTTTGTGCACCTTGCTACACTCCTTTTTGTCACCCTTTGTTCCCCCTTCTTCTCGAAATATGTGTTCACCACAACAATTTCCATCC